AAAACCGGGGGACGGTACGCCTTTTGCCACCTTTGCACTAAGAGGGACACCCTCTCCCCCCCATCCTCCGGGTTTTCAGAGGGCTGAGACTCCTGGCCCGGTCTGTGTGCGAGCTCTGGGTTGGCAGGAGGGGTTTGGTTCCGAAGATGTGCCTGTCAGAGGAAAAACCAAGCAATCATACAGTTAGTCACAGCAGCGCTTAGCTGTAACCCGACCACGTGTTAAAAAGCTTTCCAGAAAAGCTGAAAGTACTTCTTATTTACAGGTTTCCTCTTACAAGACCTGATCTTTGCAAGAAATGGGAAGCTGCTGTTAAAAGGAAAAACTTCAAGCCAACCAAGTATAGCAGCATTTGTTCAGAACACTTTACTCCCGATTGCTTTAAAAGGGAATGCAACAACAAGCTTCTGAAAGAAAATGCTGTGCCCACAATATTTTGTTATACTGAACCCAGTGAAAAGGTAAATCCAAAGCACTCGTAGTTTAAGATACTGGAATGCGTGTATGTTGCTCATATTAGCCTAGCAGGGCTTGATGTAGCAGAGCAGTAGGGAAAAGATGCAGATTGTGAAGGATACTGGCAGAGCACGTGCACCTGGAGGCACATGGAGGGTTGTGATGGCTGAAATACATCCAACAGCTGTTCTGATTTGCTTTGATTAGAGTGGCGATGTAGGCTGTCTGAGGCTCTGGAGCACGTAGTGTTGTGTAGACCTACAGTTGCTCTGATCTGCTCTTGTGTGCATACACAGAAGCCTGAGCAGTGTAACTTCATTGAAAATCTTGTGCTGAATTAAACAGAATGGCAGCAAAGTCACAAAGTATTGCCCTGTAGTCAAGTTGTTCAGCTGTATTTGTGGCATATTTGGATTTTTAGAGAGCCTACAATAATACTTGCAGATTGCACTGTCCTCTCATATGCTGACTGGTGGCTACTGTTAATGTTGAAGAGATGATGGACCTTAGTTCTGAAACTTAGCTGTCCTTAACGTAAAGAGCTCTGTTCTCTGGCTTTGCAGAGCTAAAGTGAGATGCAAACAGAGGGGCGGAACGGTATCTGCATCTGCTATCTGTCTGTGCTGAAACCATCTCTGCCTTGCCTCAACAGTTACTGTATGTTCATAAGCCAGACTGGTCCCTAACTTCTGTCTCTGAACTTTTGATGGTAGTCTCCTGTGAGATGTTTTGCTCCCTTCACTGTGCTGCTAAGGCAGCTTACTGTGAGATGCAAGTCAGTTATGTGTTTTTCCTTCCTGATGTAATAACTGCAAGACAAGAATGGAAGAAATTGATTCTTAACTCCTATAAAGGATAAAATATTAGATCTCTTGCTACTGTGCTGTAGAGGAAGTGGTAAACGAATGGATGCGATAGGTCTGGGTGCTGAAAGACTGTAATGGGATGGAGTGCACAGAGGAAAACTGGGACTTTTGCTTGTTTGATTTTTCTGTTTATATATGATATTGGATTTGATGCAGAAGTAAAAAGGGAATGTATCTGAAAAATGAAAAGTGGCTAATAACAGAGAAGAGGATATAAGCAGAAGGTATAAGGAAAGACAGACAATTTCCAGGTAAATACGGCTGTCTTAAGCTTTTTGTTTGATTATGCTTCCCTGCTGCCTGTATGGCACACATTTTCTTTGTCACATGTAAAATAGTTGCAAAATTTTTTACAGTCTGAAAGCTGAATGGGTGTAGAGGATAATCTGCAAAAGTGCTATTGCTGCAGCAGGATTAGTGGTAGGCCACATTCACCATTTCATTATGCCTGGATCTACAAAAACATAAAAGAGTTCCTTTTAATTATGGAGAAGGATTTAGTGCTATTCCTATTTATCTCACGGCACTTTTAAATGAACTGCCACACATCTTCAAGAAATAATGTAGTAACAAAGAATAGTAGTGATTGTTTTGGAATTGAACCTGCACTGATTTTGAAATACAGCTTTTAATCTTTTGTATTATGTAATTTGAAATACTTCCTTCTTCTTTACTTATGTCTTGGGAGAACCATTTATTGGTTGTAAGAGGCAGTCAGAATTCACTTATGTGTCAGTGATACCAATGATCTGTTCTCCATGATACGTTGTGACAATAGTAATGTATTTATAGAGGTAGCATGTGCTGCATAAGCTGCAAATAGAAATCTCTGTGTGAATTCAGCTGTCCAGCAATGATCTGATTTTTGCTTGAACTTCTCTGCCAATTATATCTTTGCCTTGTTTTTTTAGTAGAAAAGTTTCAAAGTGATAGCCGATAGAGTCAAACTGTTTAGAATATTCATGTGTGAATTAGATAGGAACAGTTAGCAGTGATTTCTCGTAATTGAGATATAAGAGTGGTCGTTGGCTGGTTTTGTACTCCAAAGTGAGCAGTAATATTTGAGTGCATATGAAACTTCCCTTCTGCCTTCTCAGTTACTGTCTGCCAAGCGTTGTGTTTTGTACAAGAGGGATATCTAGACCCCACAATATCAAATATTAGCTTGTTTTCATGTTAGGTCAAGGAAGTTAATGAAATGACCTTCAGATCTGATGACCTTGATATTTAGATGATGAGGATTGTCAGCTGCTCTCATAGTCATTGTCCCTGTCCTTATGCTTTTATGTGTAGTAATAATATTGGCAACAGGTGAGTAGTTAGAAAATTCATTCAGTGCCTCTTTCACTGAGAATATTTTAATCTTTCTTTCTGACAGGCAATATGCAAGCTCTTGTTTAAAGAGTGCTTTTTTTTTATCATTGTGTGAACAGAAGCATTTCTGATTTGTACTGCATTCCTTTGGGGCAGAAAGAATCTGATTTTCTGCTCTGGCCTATACTCAAGTGGTGAGGGGTCTGTGTAGTCCTGAACCATACAAGTGAACCTGTTAAGAGTAGTACTCGTGTGGAGTTGAGCCATTCCATATTTTGCTGCTGCCAAAAGGGAGAATCGTGCTTCTCCCTTCTCCATCTCATCTGCCAGTCCTGTTTCTCACTCTTCCATACACCAGCACGCATATAGGTCAAAGCAATGCAATATAAGGTATGATTTTTTAATAAAGGATGGAAGATTTCTGCAGTGATGGTTAAAGCATTAATAGCTTTTTATCATCTTAGCAACTTACTATGTTTGAGCAAAGAGTAAATACCAGTGCTGGGAGGGCTGCTTTGCTGTTGAAGAGCTGTTTATTTTGGTTCATTATGTCTCTTGAAACCAAATGATTTTGCTGCAGCCTGAAACCAGTGACACAGTCCCTTCCAGTTATTGAGAAGCAGGCCTTACTGTGTCTACCTCTCTGCTCTGCCAGCTTATCAGCCCCCTCAGTAGGTGACCCTTATTCTACCTCAGCAGAAGATTATCTGCTTTTCCTGTGTTTTTGATTAAGTTAGCTGATAAGTTCAAAGTATGTAATGGTAAAATGCACCAGAAAGAAGGAGGAACAAAGGGGAATGGGATGGCAATGATGAGTTATTAGGTCAGCTGAACTTCGTTTTATGGAACTGTGGCCTGCGTTCTTGCTTCTTAGCTAATTGTGGATATGTGTTTGACCTAAGTCTTCAAGTGAGAGCAATTGGTATGTTCTTCAGTTTTTGATTTATTTGAGACATCAAGGACTTGAGTTTCAAAGAGCCCTGAAAATGAAGCTGCTTAAGAGTACCTCAAGTTGAGAAGCCAGACAAAACAGGCCCAGAACTGTTTGTCATTTTTGAAAGTCTAGGCTTTGAAATTTATTTTATTAATTTCAGTCCTGGTTGTTTACAATCTTAAGCATGAAAATGTACTTTTTTTTTTTCTTGTCATTTCTAGCCTGAAGAATTTGCAGAACAGCCAGAAGATCCACTACCGCCTCCGCCACCGCCACCACCACCACCACCACCAGCAGCAGCAACAGCAGCAGCTCCAGTACTACCACCATCTCCATCAGCTCCTTCTTTTCATTTGTCTCAAATAGATGCCAGATTTGTAGATCCAAGTATTGGATTATTGATGCCTCCTCTCCAGACCCCTAGCAATCTTGCTGTTTTTTGTGATCACAACTATACCGTAGAGGATACAGTTCATCAGCGAAAAAGAATTCAGCAGCTGGAAGAACAAGTTGAAAAGCTGCGGAAGAAGCTCAAGACGGCACAACAGCGATGCCGGCGTCAGGAAAGACAAATTGAAAAACTGAGAGAGATCGTTCAGTTTCAGAAAGAAAAAGACATTTTGGCAGGAAAAGGCTATGTGATTCTGCCCAATGACTATTTTGAAGTTGTAGAAGTACCTGCCTAGAAGTCACGAACATCATTTTTAGCTTTGCTAGGCAAAGAAATTTAGTTTAAAAACTAAATGCTCTCTAATTCTGTGTGTAGGACTTTCCAGAATTCTAAAACAATAAATAAGGAGTCATACAAATGAGACCACATTTTTTTCTTCATGTCATGTCAGTTTGATACACTTAATATCTTGAAAACGCAAGCATCTCAGAATTAGAATATGCATTTAGTTTACAAAATCTGAATTGTTTTACAAAAGGAAATGTTGCAAGGTTGAATACATTTAAAATCTGTTATTTTTTGTTTGTTTGTTTTACAATGGTTATCTTATGCTTACAGGGGATGTGGAGCTGAATTTGGCTGAGAGTGAAGTTGAGGTTGTTGTACACTTTGTGCAAAGCTTTGTCAAGGCATTTAATGGTGGCTTTGGTGATCCCCAGGAAGTAGTTTTCACTGATTTCAGAAGGAGCAGAATTAGGCCAGCTAAGAACACCTGCAAGTGTTGCAGAAAGATAAAGGTAAGATACACATTTCAGCCTGGGAAAACTTCCAACCTCAGTTTGCTATGCCTTCAAAGCACTGCAAAAAGTCTAATTCCTGGATCCCTTTGGTGACGTACGTAAATGAACCTCTTCTTCTGGAGTAACCTTTCATCACATGTGTCTTGTGAGGGAGATGAGGAGAATTCATTAGCATGGCTGATGAGAGCTGTAAAAGAGGCTTTTGTTTTGAGGGCACTTACAAATACTCCTGAAGTGCAGTGCTGCACTGAACACATATGTTATTGGACTGTTGGCAGGATCAAGAAGGCAGTGTACTGTTTAGGGTGACTGCTTTTCACAGGTACCTTGATACAGTCCCCAACATGTTGGAGTGTGACGTTCCCATAAACACCGTAACAGGTAGAATATTGTTCTCTTCTTTGAAATTGTTGATCTTAACTCACATCTCAACTGTGTGTAGCTTCAGGAGATGAAAAAGTTTTTTTACTTATCCAGGGTGTCAGACATTTGTGACTTTCATTGCAATATACAGTGATCTTCATTTTTTTTTTTTTTTTTTTACCGCTCCCCAAAAGGCATCCACCAAAGGGCAATTACAGAATTAGACTTTGGGAGTTGCTTGGTGCTAGACTGGTTTTTAACATCTCAAATGCTGCTGCCTCTCCTTCAGTCTTTTTAAGACTCTTTCTAAAAATGAATTTAACATGACAAAGTAGTGCAGCAGTTTGCACTTACTGTCTAATAATTTGTTTAATCAACAAACTCATTCGAAATCAGAGAAAATGGCATCGTGCTAAGCCTCTTGTAGTCTTCACAGCTGAAATTCCTGGATATATTAGATGTGAGGAAAATTTATTCACTCAGTCCATGTCAAACTTGTGTGTTGTGTGGATTTTAGCTCTGATACTAATCAAGCCCTGTTCATGATGACTTTAAAGCTTCCCTTAATATCCTGTTAGCATGACATTTTGAAATGTTTCGAACCAGTCTTGATACTTCTGATCTGACTCATGCCG